AATGAATGAATGAATGAATGAATGAATGAATGAATGAATGAATGAATGAATGAATGAATGAATGAATTTCTTTTTTGCCTGAAGTACTCCAGTGCAATTGGATGTAAATGTGCATTTCTAGTGGCATGCTAAAAGCCAGTTGATAGTTCAGCTTGGATTAGTGTCAGCCTTGCCATCTCTTTGGCCCATTCTGCACAAATAGATGGAGCTCCATCAGTCTGTCTTAGGGCAGATTGTACTGAATGGGGCATGAAACTTGTATCTAAAGTTTACAAAAAAATTTAAAATGTTGCTAAAGTGCAGTGGCCAACTTCCCATCACACCCAGTCTGGAATGGGCTCAAAATGAGTCAGGTTGAATGATGAAGCAGTTTTTAGTTCCTCGTTTAGGATGACTTCATGCATACACATTCTACGAAATTTGTTTTGTTACTGTTTTATCCTATAGATCTTTACATGAAATACAAGTACATTTCATTTGAAGTCACTTGATATCTATCAGCTAAAATTCAGATAAAATCTACTACTCTTTTGTATTCCGTCAAACTGAAAGCCAACCCCAGACATGGGCTTGCCAGACACTGGATAGTCCCTCTCTTCTTCTTCTTCTTCTTCTTTTTTTGTTCCGTCAAGCTGAAAGCCAACCCCAGACATGTACTTGGGCTTGCCAGACACTGGGTAGTCCCTCTCTTTTTTTGCCAGATTGGTGGAACAACCAGAACGTTTGCTCAGTTGCTGGGGTGTTTTGGTAGCAACTGTTGTAGGGCTAGACAGAACATCACCTCAATCATCACCCAAGTATCAAGGGCTGTTTGCACATTCAAAGAAATGTACAAATAGGATTTCTGCAATGGGGAAGTTACTGTCTTACAGGTGTAGGGCTAGACAGAACATACATCTCAATCATCACCTAAGTATCTAGGGCTCTTTGCACATTCGAAGAAATGTACAAATAGGACTTCTGCAATGGGGAAGTTACTGTCTTACAGAGCGGGGGGAAATGAATAGGTTAGTGGACCCTGCGTAGATTGCATAATGCTACCCTGGAATTCACTTACTTTCTGCATCCCACAAAACAGGACTGAAAAATGTGAAGGATGGCTGTCTTTCAACCACCAGTAGAAATTACTTACCTGGTATTTGTGCATCCCACAAAACAGGACTGAAAAATGTGAAGGATGGCTGTCTTTCAACCACCAGTAGAAATTTCACAAGTATGACATATTTGCAAGTGTTCCCCCCTCCCTTTTTTTGTGTGACAGACTTCGTGATTTGGGTAAATCATGGAAATCCTGGTCCCTTGCAGTTAAGGTGTCTTCTGTGTGATTTGGGGAAATGGCAGTGATTTGAAAAACAAAGCCTTTAATGTTGGAAGGATGGGGTATTTAAGTTCTCTAAAATAAACGCATGCATCCTTCCAAGTAGCTAAATACAGATTTGTGTACATGTTAACTCTGAGAGGCCTGTTCACCCTGCATGTGATTATTTCCCTCTCCTCTAGACCAGCTTTTACGATCAGCAAGTCAGCATTCGGACAGCAGTGGTTTTGCAGAAGATGCTTCTTCCACAGACTGCTTCTTGCTAAATCAACTTCAGGTAAGGTTGCATGTGAATGAGATGTGTTTGTCCTCATTGCTCAAAACCCCACTTGCTGCTCCCTGCCTGTTTCCATAGTTAGCATTTTGCAATATGTGTGAAAGACTCTTAGCACATAAAAGGGAGGAGTGTAGAGTGGTGGGATTGGCTTGTTTCTGTGTTCTGTACTGACGAGGATGCAACAACAAGTCCTATTTGCAATTAAAAGATTTGATCTAAGTGCGGCAGGATCTTCTGATTTCATGGTGGTCTATTGTATGGACCTCATAATTACCCAACAGCCTTGAGTGCTTCCACTTCTTTTGCCAATTAGATAAGTGAAAGCATGAAGTTTATAAAATAACATTTAGTTTCATGAATCGTTGTGGCTTTCCATGTTGAAATAGCATGTTCAAAGTTATTCCAATATTTTCTGAATCCAAGCTTGTTGTTTGAAGGTAAACATGAAACACCATATCAGTACCAGCAGCATAAACAATGCAGTTCTCCCAGTAATATCATATGACGGAACAGGACAACTAAACAGTAGCAGTACCGTGTGCTGCTATTCTGCTGCCATTTAGACAGGAGAAAAAATTAAGCTCAATCAGAAAAAAAAATCTGGTGGAAGAAAGTCTTTACCAGATTGTTAAAAGCATATAATGTTTTTGGAGGGATGTAATTGCTCAATGTGGGCAACCCTAATGAGAGTGCTGCCTTGCTCATGGAGGCCTGTTAGGTTACAAGCTACTAAGTAATTAAAAATAAAGTAAAGAAAAATAAAGTTTGAGTTTAAAAAAGCAGTCATGTTCTGAATGCCACAAGTACTGTGTCTGCATGACTGAATTTGGGAAATAAGGGAATCCAGGGGACAGGCAGAATTGGCTGAATTTCTTAAAGGGCTTTCTGTCCAGGGCTTTCCTGTGCTGTTTGTAGGAAGTATCTTTTTGGGCTGAACAAGAAGTCTCTTTCTGTAGAGTGAAAAGGAATCCAAATTCAGTGGCAAAGGTGATAATTTAAAAAGGAAAAGGAAAGCCTTGCATAGTTTAAAAATATGACAAAGTCGTGGCCCCCTCTGCCCAGTGTTTTTTTTTATCTCTGTGAAAAGGCAAACATTTTGTTCTGTTTGTTTGTTTCTTTGTCTGTTTTCATGGCCGCTGGTTCTTCCCCACCCCTTTCCCATCTCTCCTTGTCAGGGACATGACTCCTTGCAGGCCATGGGAAGCAGCGCTGACAGCTGTGACAGTGAGACCACAGTCATGTCTTGCAGCGAAGAACTCAAGACCCCAGTAGCAGAACAGCAGCCCTATTTCAGTGAGCTTGACGAGGAGGAATTCCTCCTCTCCGAAGCAGAGCGAGGAAACCCAGAGATGCTTTCCGAGATGCAGGAAGGAAAAGGTCAGATGATGCTGGAGGGCCGGACTCCCAGTGGAGTCCAAGGGAAAGAGCTTGGCCAAGGACGTTTTGTGCAAAGTGGCGAAGAGGCGGCAGCTGAAGCCTTGGAGGAAGGCAGCGAAGAGAGTGATGTCGATAAAAGCAGCGAGTGCGAGTTCCCGCCCTACAAAACCCACCACATTCTCAAATCCGTGCCCTCCATAGAAAGCAGCAGTTCGGCTCCTTCCTCGGCGGAGCGGGTTAGCAGCGCTTTGCAAAGAGCCCAGAGACGAATGGGCGGCTCGTCCGATTCCAGAGCCGGCCGCCCTTTGCTCAAATCCAAAGACCTTCTCTTCAAGCAGAGGCATCGAATCGCTGACCTGGGCTACCCCCTGCGGCGCTCCCAGTCCCTCCCGACCACGCTGTTAAACCCTGTGAGAGTTGTCTCCTCTGTGAGTGTTCAGGTGGCTCCGGGAAAGCAGACCTTCTGCAGCCCTCCCTCCTTCACATACAAGTATGGCGCACCTGAAGAAGGCGAGAAGAAGGAAGAAGGGCGGCCCAGCCCTGAGATCAGCAGCAGTCCTCCCAGGTGTACGTCCACCCTCTTCATTGCGCCTTCCTCTCTCAAGAAAGAATCTTCCCCTCCTCCAGTAAACAAGACGGCAGAGGAGCCGTGCCGCAGCCAGAGGCGGAGCTGCCCTCTTCATCTCCCGGCCTTTATGTCCCAGTCCTCCTGTTCGCTGCATTCGCTGCATTCCGAGTGCCCAGACAGGCCCTTGTGTGCTCACATGAGAACATTTAGTGCGCACAGCATCCCGAGCACCCCTGGGTCTTCTTGCAGTGCCTTGCCTTCCCCCTTCGGATGCTATCACTCACGGGGCCCTTATGGACCCCCTTGCCAGCTCCCAACCACGAACACGCCCTCCACGGTTGAAATGCAGCTGAGGAGAGTTTTGCACGACATCAGGAGCTCCTTACAAAACCTTTCCCAGGTAAGAAAGAGTCGAAGTTTTTTTTCGTCTCTGAGGCTTCCAGTTGTATTGGACTACAGTTGCCAGTAGCCCCAGCCATAGCACTCAATAGCCCAGCTGACTAGAGATCAGGGGAATCGTAGTCAAAGACATCTGGGGCATTGGGTGGGAGAAAGAGGCTACCACTTGTGATGAGGTGGGGATCTGCATGTCTATGTGACTTGAGCTGGCTAAGAAGAAAGATAAAGCATGCAATTGGACTTCAGTTGGTTGCTGTGGGTTTTTCGGGCTCTTTGGCGGTGTTCTGAAGGTTGTTCTTCCTAACGTTTCGCCAGTCTCTGTGGCCGGCATCTTCAGAGGAGAGCACTCTGTGCTCTGGTCCACTAGAGAGTGCTGTCCTCTGAAGAAAACCCACAACAACCATTAGACCCCAGCCGTGAAAGCCTTCATGAATACATTGGACTTCAGTTGTTTGTATAGATTTATAATTCTACAAACTGAAGGCATTTTGTGCTGCCATGTATGTCATTGATTCTGATGACTGTCGTGGAAAAAAAAGTTGTGTCCAAGGCCATGCCGGGATTCTGTTTCTACACTGGGATTTGAATTCACAGGTCCAGATAGGATGCTTGATCATCTTGCCATTTGCATAAACAAGGCCAAAAATTAGGATGTGAAAACAAAAATCTATGAGGAAAGAATTTTATTTCATTTAATCTGGAATCAAAGAATTGTACATCTTAAAGTCTAATAAAGTTATCATGGCAAAAGCTTCTGAGGAATGAACTCTTATTTAGTAATGGATGTTTATATCACAACACATTTCTAAGCCTTTGAGGTATAATAAATTTCGCAGTTGTCCAGCCCTATTTAGAGGCTTCTTGCACATGCTGCCTGGGGTGAATCTAAGATCCGGCCATGTCTCAGACGCCAGAGATGTTATCAAAACCATGGGCAGGCCTCAAGCTGTATCTGTGAAAACCAAGTTCACTGTGAAAATCTAAGGAAATTAAACGCACGACAAGATTTTCATGCGACATGTATTTTTCAAAAGTGTGCTCAAATTTGGGAAACGCAGAAGAGAACAGCAGGAATGGCAATGTTAGCATTTCAGCTGCAATATTTTGAATATTTATAGCTTTTTATCTGATTTTTTTCTTAAGCACCCACCCTTTACATGGGCTCATTTCTGTAAATTTTCCTAGATATTTTTCCAGTTTGCATTTCACAGTCCAGTCAGTCCTATTACAGAAGGCTTGCCAGCTACAATCCTCTGTTGTTTTCAGAGGGCTTGTAGGAGCAGGGGAGTGGGAGATGTTCACCTTTTTCAAGACACCTTCACAAACAGAAATCTCACATAGCTTAATATGATACGTATGGACTGTTGCTTCCTCCGTGGGGTTTTCCCAAGAACCGGACCAGAAGTGTTGAAATCTGGTTGATCATGAACAGTAACAAAGCCTGACTCACTTGGTTTGTGAAATTCAAACATTCCTTTGGTGTTGGTAGGTCATCATTGCTCCAAGAGTTGGTGTACTAGATTTGTAACATACAACCAAGCTAAAAAGGTCAATGCTCTTGCCATTCATTGTGCAGGATGTGGGGGGGTGTAGCTCTGGCACAGTTTGTTAGGTAGACTATGTCCTATGTGTTGCTCTTTGTTCTTTGAAGGGAGAAGGGTGAGAAATTACACCTCAAAGGTATTGAGTTGCTGCCTGCAAATTCCTCTGCTGGAAGGGGGGTTGAAATTAAACTTATTTTTCTGCTTAGAACAAATACTCTTTCCAGAGACACATGGTTCAGCTTTCTATCTGAATGTGCCCTATCACCCGAGAGAGAAAGAGAGAGAGAGGGAGAGAGAGAAGGGGAATTGCAGGTTTATAGATGTCAAAAATCTTAGTGCATGTCCAAATGTTCAGAGGCATGTACTCTGGACTATTGAGATGAAGTCAGAGCAGAGCAGAGCAACGGGACCTCCAGATGCTGTTGGACCACATCCCTGTGAATTCTTATCATTGGCTGTGTGCCTGAGGTTGATGGCAGTTGTAGTCCATCAACTGGAGGGCCTCTGAGGTAGAGCAAACTTGGGCTGCCCTATATCCATGTCTTCAGTGTACAGTACTGCAGTAGCCGTTGTAACTCTGCTAGTAGGATTGGCTCTTTTTGCATGCATGTCTCTTGTGGGGGGGGCAGTAGTGTGGGTCCAGGCCACAGACTGCGGGTTGAAAGAGTATGTTTGTTTCCCTTGAAGTGCAAAGTTATTTTGACTGTCAAGTTATTCAAGAAGAGCAAAACGAGCACGTCCGCCTTGTCTGCTTTCTTTAAAGTTCTCCTGTCTTCTCCCACATGTATGAGTGCAAGGCTGCTGTCTACTAGTTTTATTGGATGCATCAAGTTACATAGTTTGTTCCTTCTCTCCCTTTCTAGAACCCAATGATGAGAGGCCATGATGTTCCTTCATCCCCTTACAGCCCTGAGAGATCATCTGTTCTACCTCTCTATGAAGTAAATGGTGCTTTTAAAAATTATTATTCATGCATATCTTGTTCATTCGTTCATGGCAAAACAGTATTGTGAGTATGCATACAGGATTCCTGAGCTAGTGGATGCTCTGCAGCATTCCTGTCCCCTTTCTCAGATGAAGAGACAGAACTGGTGTGTAGGTTCTCTTACCTTCTCCGGACACGTCATCTCTTGCTTTCTCTGACCTGTTTTCGAGGGAAAAGGAGAATGAGGCGAAATCTGTGGCTGCTTCAGCCCATGAGCTGCAGGTTCCTGCCACCTACTCAGTGCAAAGCCTACCTCAGAACAGTTCCCACCAGCTTTGTCCAGCACAACCATGCTGGGCCATGATGAGAATTAGGATTCGGGAATACCTGGAGGGCCATCTATTCACCATGCCTTGATCCAAATAGTTTCCACAAAAATATATTGGTAAAAATTGTTCTTTTTACTTGGATCTTGGCAATGTTCAGTAAATATGGATATTTTCCCCTGTGTACCAATCTAGAATACCTTCCAAGATCTTCAAGTGGTGAGAAGGAACCTAAACCTCTTCAGAACCCAGATGATGGACTTGGAATTGGCCATGTTACGCCAACAGACAACAGTTTATCAGCACATGACGGACGAAGAAAGGTTAGCATGTGTGGCCAACAAAGTGGGAGTCCTCCCTTTAGCAACCTGCAGTAGTATTTGTGCATAAATGTGGAGCCCTTGATTTCTTCTGAAGTCTTGCTACCAGTTCTCTTTCACTCCAAAACTGCTGTGTTTTCTTCTAGGTGCATATTCTTGAACTAATCAAAAACATGCTTCTCCTTCTCGCTCCACACCCGCGCATGTTGGCCAGAACCAGTCCTCCTGCTCCTCCTTCTGCCTCTTCTAAACATCTAGGACCTGATGCTTCTTTGCCTTCTGCCTCTGGCACTAAAATGCTCTGTTTCTGACCATCGCTCACATTAGACCACTGCAGCTTTCTCCATGCTGGTTTTTCTCCCCCCATCCTGCCATCTCTCTCCTTTTTGCTCAGCTCAGAGTACATCTGTCCACAGCAGATTTTTGTCCTGTTGCTTATTATCTACTCTCTTGTGGTAAGTTTCACATCTTTTGGCGTTGGGGGTAAGGATTAGAATCCTGTTCCTATTTCTTACCATTGTGGTTGTTCCAGGAAAATGGCTTTGATGGTTATACTCCCCTCAGCACCCATTTTAGGCTGCTGCTTGCAGCCGATACCTATCATTTTGTTTCCTTGGGAATATAGGCTACTTTATTTAAGTAGGCTTTAATTTTTTCAAAAATTCAATTCTTTTCAGGAGGTCCTATGTGGTTTTCTCCCTTCTTCAATTTGTCTTTTCAAACCTGAGAAGTTTGGTTGGGAAACAGCAAGCAGGTGTGCCCTACGGAGGCCCAGTGTGCCTCCTGTGACAATTTGGGTACGAAGTTTCCCAGGTCTAGTCTAAAACTGCTTATCCAGTGGTTAGACTAGTTCCTAAACTTTGATTTCCAGAGGTTTCTGGACTTCAGCTGCCAGAAGAAGTACAGCTGGTAGGGTCAGGAATCCTGCAACACCTGGGGGGCCCAGGTTTGGGAACCATTCCTCCTGCCACTTCTTTCTTGTCCAAGATCCCCAGTGCCAGGCCTCTTGATATCCCGGGATCCTTCAAATGACCTCTGCTTCCAGTGAAATCCTGTGTGTCTATTGTTGCAGCGAGATCCTGTGAAGAAGGAAAAACGGTGGTTTGAAAGGCCCCTGGGTTGGTGGGCTTCATCTGGTGTTCTTCCCTTCAAACAGGCTGCCTCTGTGCCCCAGCCTTAATCTTTACTTCCATCATATATTACTTGTACTACCTGAATATCATCCAAACCCTTTTGTATAGCACCAAGTTTGTTTATTTACTGAGCAAATCTATCTTCTGCTCTGGACACTGTTGGTGAAGGGGTTCGTTTACTCTCTCGTTTCAGCTCTATTAGATTTTACAGCCTGCTTTGAAAACTAAAGTAAAGCCCATTTGTACCCCTTCGTAAGGGAACTGTGGAATGTCCGTGTTTCTCAGGTTTCCTTTTCTTTAGGGCAGGGGGGTGGGCTCCTAATTTTAAAAGGACATAGACTCCTATCCCCTTAACATAATTCATTGTAGTACATTGGGCCACAAAAATCTAAGGTGGTCTGAAACTTGATACTTAAAGGTCTGTATGTCTTTTGTGTATGTTTTATAGATTCAATATAATATAGGTAGGAGGATCCCAAAGGGTATTTCCACAGAGCGAACCACTTCCGTCAGTGGGGACTTAGAGGGATGTAATTCTGCCACACATCATCGCCACAACCCCTTGTTTATTCTGAAAACCTGCTCCAAAGTGTTGAGAAAACTCTCTGGAGTAGATAACAGGAGCAGGTCGTGGAGGGCTGCAGAAGGAAACTGGATCCGGTTAGCAGGCATCCACATGAGTGTTGCATTGGATTTAGGCTCCTAGGCGGAGTGTGTTACACTATACGTTCTGAATGTTTGTTTTCTAAATATGTTGTGTTTTCTGTTAATCTCACAGTTTTTTTTCTATCACAGTGCTTGTAATACTGCTATATGTCACAGTTTTTTTTCTCACTGTTTGTCTTTCATGCAAACATGCCCAAGATTGTATGTCACAGGAGTGATATGAGATTAGTTCCTCATTGCTGTAGATGATGTGAATCCATCTGTTATAGCACTGTAGTCAAGGGGATAATGCTCTCTTCTGTGCTGAACATACTTCTGATTTAGGTATGAAGCTGACCAGCTTCAAACCCTGAGAAAATCTGTTCGCATGGAGTTACAGGAACTAGAAATGCAGTTAGAGGAACGTCTTCTGGCTCTCGAAGACCAACTTCGGAATATGCACTCCTGTTCTCCTTTCAGGCAGCAAACTCTTATGGTAGGTATTGTGCCTTACTCCACTGTTGACTTTGGTTGTATTGTAAATAGTTACAGCTCAGTCTTGGCCTTAGAATATTACTGTAGAAACAAGGTTCTGAAGATTTGTTGCTTTATAGGAAACAGATCTGGGCAGGATGCTAAGGAGAAACCAAGTGCTCTTCAATTAAACCAGAGTGTCACAGATCATTCTAGGTAGGCACTAGGTAGATTTGAGTGAGTTACACTACTTTCATGAGCAGGCGTTGTATTCAGCATTTTGTTTCAGGATGGAGTGATTTTTACACGGATCCAAGATCTGTGTTAGATGCGACAGCGTATTGTCAAATCATTAAGCAACATGGCCACTTTGAGTTGGTAGCAAAAGCAGATGTTCATCAGTTCACAGGGTTGGAATGGTGAGGCCGTGCACATTGAGGACACAATCCAACTTTGTCCCATCAGGTGTAAGTGTACAGGAGGTGCCCCTGATTAGAACCAGGCACTTCAGAGTTGGTGCTCCCATGGATGTGGTTTAGAATGGGTTGTGGTTGTGTTGGGCTACCTAGAGGGCCAGGTTCTCTCTTGGGGTTGCAACTTGCACCAGAAGAGGTTTCCCGTGCATTTAGGGGAATTGCAAGCGTTGGGGCATTTTCCCCAGAGGGCAGTTAAGCTGACATTTCCTCAAAAAGGGAACCTTTGCTTTTCCCCTGAACCCTTTTGTCTTACCAGATGTACAGATGAAGAACTCAAATCAGTGGAGAAGGGAGGCAAAAAGAGAGTGAGTGAGTGAGTGCCATAGAAATGAGGAAAGAGGGAGAAAGAGAAAGGGAGCAAGGGGAGTTAGAAGGGGGAAGGGGTGCTAGGAAGAAAATGGGTGGCTTTTTGTCAGCTATACCCCACAACCTCCCAAAGAAATAGAAGCAAGAAATAATTTTTCAAAGTTGACCTAGCCTTGACCATCCCTGTGCCATTAACAATCCTGGTCTTCCAACCCCCAGTTTCTCTGTTGATGTTTATGTGAAGAAGAAATCTGAGAGAAATGTTGTGGCCTAAGGGGCCAGAATTAGTCAAAACGAAGGATGTTTTTGACTCCCAAGTCGTTCTTTGGGTTAGGTCACGTTTGAGGAAGCTGGCTTTCTGAGAAGAATCACTCTGTTGACTCCAACACTAACCTCATGCCCCTCCCTTCTGCCTTCATTTTTCTTCTTCTTTCAAGGTGGAGAGTCCAGGTTTTGGAGGGAAAACAGGGAAGCATGTAGAGCAGGAGACTAAACTCCTGCAGTTTGTTAAAGGTTTTCTTCTATTACATTAATAGGTCCATGACAGCATCTAAAACGCCAAAATAAAATGTAGAAAATTCCCATGGGGGGGGAGGAGGATAAGCACATATTTCCTAACCTCTGGTCCATGACCTGACACCAGTCCGTGGCCTAAGCAGGACCGGCTGCGGACTCAGATCTCCTCT